ATAACGGGAATAGTGAGACAGGAGCAATGACGAAGCAGCGCCTCCACTAGATGTCAGCAGGCCAGGATGTTGAAAAAGGGAAAGATGTCGTGCATGAAAGAAAACTCTTCATTTTGCCGCACATGCGGCTGGGAAAAAATGAAGTTGCAGCAAGCAATGCACGCTGTACACCAATGTCGGCGCCCACAGCGTCCGTCTTCAATAAAATGACAATCAGAGGGTCTGGCTTTTGATTAGGGCGTCGGAGGGGCCAGTGGTTTATTCGATGCAATAAAAAGTGCGTTAAAATAGAAAAGGGCACCAGAAAGAAAGAACAATAAACACATTGAGCGTAAACTACCAAATGTTTTTATTGACCTTAGAGCTTAGGTGGAATAGGAAAACAATCTTGCTATGTTTAATGTATCAAGCGTCAAATTTACCAGCCTCATCGCTTGTGGTGGTGTAAGCAGCTTAGGCTATGGAATGGTGCGCGCATGGTAACTAAAGTGGCCTACTAGAATAGTGAAGCCTTTCGAACAAGTCAAGTGGTCTGCGCCGAGCATAGTTGTCAGTCTTTGTGGGTTTAAGCCATGAACATAAAAATAACGTGTGTGCCAATATGGTTTGTTGAAGTTCCCATTCAAAGCCGAGAAGTGTGCTTTGGAGTACCGCGAGTTTCGGGGAGGCCGTTAATGTGGTGTGAGAAGTTCGAAACAAAATGCTTTCAAGTTTTGCTAGTATGACCTCAGCTCCCGCAAACTCTCCAGTTTTTGTCCAGCCATCCGTGTAAAGTTCAAAATAGTCTTGACACAATCTGACGTAGTTTCAGTCAGTGCAAACACAATTTTTTTTTGCAGTTGCCGCATAGTCCCTAGGAAGGCACTCTCGGTGAGTCGATATTTTCTTATAAAATGAGGCATTGGGCCCGTCTTCTGACAGTGAGGAGCGGCGGCTCAGAAAGGCGTGAGCAAAGTGCCTAATATGGGCTCTAAGCACCTGGAAAGTAATTTAAACCGCTGCTTAGGCACAGTGTGGATTTTCGCGACAAACTCCGGCTACCTGGACCTAGGTGTTTTCGATCATGCGTATTTTTCAGGTGATCGTAACAAATTCTGAGAGTCAATACCAGGAACAACAGAAACAACTTGCTGTAGAACTGCAACGTCACTTTCACTATTGAACCCCTTTCTCACAACGTTTTCCCTGTGATGAATTTCAAATGCTGTGAGATGGTCGTTAGGCGTCTCTTAAGAACATTCAAGTGTAGACATCAACGGAAAGGAGGTAGATCTTGCATGTTCTGGCGTAGCAAACGTTTTCTAAATATATTGTGATACGATATGACGTCATTGTTTTCCACTAGAACATGACCAGTGCTGAATTCTCGGGAGAGATCTCGAGGCCTTGTTTCCAAGGTGCGCTAAAACGGAATTGCCAACTATCTGGAGCCTCGCGCGAACCTGAGGACGTGGTATGCCAGACCTTTATCATCATCTTTATCATCATCACCATCATCATCATCATTATAATATTATTATTATTATTATTATTATTATTTACCAATAGGAGCCCAATATCATCTACATAAACATTTAAACTAAGACTTATCATTTCCTCGACACAGATCACAACAACAGTGAATATTGTGGGCCTCAAGGCACCATCTTGAAGAGCGCCGTGTCGTGTGTAATCCTCAGAAGTCAAATCATCATCACGTTGCACAAGTAGTGACTTTACGTGCAGGTCGCAACAGATTCAGTTGGACAGTCGGCCACGCAAGCCAAGCAACGCGAGGGCATCAAGTGTGGCTTCGTTAGAAACATTGTCGCGGCTTCTTTTTACACTTAGAAGTCTAAAAATAGTACGACAGAGAGCAGTCTGCTAATTTCATGGAGTTGTATGTAATTAAATGACATTGCCACACTGGAAACGAAGGCGTGGTAAACCAGTAACGGTGTCGGGATATACTCTATCGTGTTCCAGGAGCCACTCCAGCCTGCCAAAGACAACTCGCTCTGTCAGCTTCCCTACCCTGCTTCAGTGGTATGACGGCCGCTTTAGAGGTTACATTCAAGTTCAAGAAGTGGAACGAAATGGTTTGTTTTCGATTGTCTGAGGTACTAATTTCTCCACGACCCGTTTAACACGACCAGCCACGCTTCAATGGCAGATCACTAAGGTGGAAATTTCGGTGGCATATAATAAGCCGTTTGGCCCAGGAGACGACAGCCGGCTAAATGAAACAAGACTCACGTTCAGCTATTCCATGCAAAATGTCTGGTTCATCAGTGAGTGAAGTATGTGGCGTGTTATCAACAGTAAATGCTCCCGTAGAAATAAATAGGGTACTATATAGTCACATGTTAGTCACCACATCCCCAGCTATCGCGCTGTCATAGGCATGGCTACCAGTCACCAGTCACCCACCGAAAGCCACAGAGAGAATGCATTTTCCAGAACTCACGACTAGGTCTTACGACGCTTTTCGACAGAAATTCATCCTGTATCTGCATTCTACACTGCAAAAGACGTCGAAGGACTATAACGTTCTCTCTGGAGGTGCTGCGTGAGTTATGAATGCCATGTCATAGTAATGCAGAGAAACTAAGGTTTTCAGAACGCAGACCAACTGGTAGGTGAAAGTGAAATTTTGTTTTAGAGAATCATAGAAAACACTCGTTTTTTTCGTTCGCAATTTCGCATTGTAAGCGCAGCAAAATAAAAACCGTGGTCTTTAAAATTACGCATATAAGCATTGATATATAAAAGGACAAACACTACCTAAAAGAAATGAAGAGAAGAACTAGTTGGTGCTGATTCATAATGGCGCAAAAGAAGTGCAAAAGGATAAAGACGAGAAAGTGAACACTACGAGCGCTTACTCACAATTGAAGACTTCATTGCTGGCGCAGAAAATATAAACGTAAACTTGATGGTCGACTGATTCCCACGCATGCCCATTGTGGTCAAGGCAACAGGTGAAAACCAAAACAAGAACACATCTCCTACACCCCGACAGGCTACCCTCTTTCCTTGAGAAGCGTCACTTAGTTTTCTGATAAAGCCGAAAGAGATGATTGATTGACATGTGGGCTTTAACGTCCGTAAACCACCATATTATTATGAGAGACGCCGTAGTACAGGGCTTCGCAAATTTCGACCAACTGGTGTTAATTAACGTGAACCGAAATCTGAGTACACGGGCCTACAACATGTCCACCTCCATCGAAAATACAGCCACCAGTGCCGGAATTTGATCGCGCGACCATCGGGTCAGCAGCTGAGTACCTTAGCCATTAGAGCACCGTGGCGGGGCAAGGCCGAAAGAGGATTACTAACACACATAAAAGCCCTCGTGAGAGTATGGCAACCTTCAGGAGGTTCTCGTGTCGTGCGATCGTGGTGTTTAAACCTGATCTACGTCGTGAGGAACAGCACTTTCCGCGGCCCTCAGCGCCGTCATTTGATTCCACCTGTGAGTTGCCGGTTGACAATACCTTACAATTCCTCAACCTATCCATGGAATTTTCTTCACACGGCGTCTGCTGGATGCGCACACCACGATCTACTGAACCACGTTTGAGCTACCGTTGCTTCCACTCTAAGCTGGTAAAAATGTGGGATATCTCTGTCGTGTATCCACTGTCAACTTATCTTTCACACATTTTGCTCTTCGCAGCTTCTAAGGGCAGGAGCATCGTCTAAATATCAAAGGCTTACCAGTCTCCGTGATACAGTTGAACTGCCAATGCGCAGTGGGACAGATGAAATGTGTTCTTGCACGCAGTCAATATAGGAATCGCTATGATAAAGAGGCTGTTATGCCACACGTATACGCGCTCTCACATCGGCTTAAAAAGACAACCAAGCGGTTCGGACTTGGGTTGTTCTTTCTTCTGGTAGATTGGTATGTGGGATTTAACGTCCCGAAATCACCATGTGAATATGAGAGACGCTGTATTGGAAGGTTCCGGAAATTTTGACCACCTGTGGTTCTTTACCGTGTCCCCAAATCTGAGAGCACGGGCCTACAGCATTTTGCCTCCATCGGAACTGCAGCCGCCGAAGCCTGAATTTGATCGCACGACATGCGTGTCAGCAGCCGAGTACCTTGGGAACTATACCAGTGCGGCGGGCGCCTTCTTTCTTCTAGTAATAGGCTTCGGAAATTATGTTCACTAGTCACCAGCAGACATCGTAACGTCGGGATACGCCGTTCCTTCATTAACCACAAAAATGGGTTCGTGTAGTACTCGGCCAATGTCGTCTATTTCACCTCCCAGTCATGTGGCCGTGTCTACGTCGGCCAGATAAGGCAATGTTTACACACATCTTGAAGAACATTGGTCTTCCTTACCGGGGAGACCCCTAAACGTAGTTGACCATTTACTGCGCTGAGTACCTGTGCGAAGCGCTATTCTCTGCAACAGAGATCTTATTTTAACACCACGGTCGCACGACACGAGAATTTGCTCGGGCTTTTCATATTCATATGAGGGCTTCTGTACACGTTAGTAATGCTTCTTTAGCCTTAGTGGAAAAGGCGGTGATTGTACTAAAGGAAAAGCGGGTAGCCTGTTAGGGGTGGAGGGTTATTGTTCAGGCTTTGGCCTTTTAACTTGGCCACGAGCGCCTTTGAGGCGTATCTATCTATCTATCTATCTATCTATCTATCTATCTATCTATCTATCTATCTATCTATCTATCTATCTATCTATCTATCTATCTATCTATCTATCTATCTATCTATCTATCTATCTATCTATCTATCTATCTATCTATCTATCTATCTATCTATCTAGTCTGTCTGTCTGTCTGTCTGTCTGTCTGTCTGTCTATCTATCTATCTATCTATCTATCTATCTATCTATCTATCTATCTATCTATCTATCTATCTATCTATCTATCTATCTATCTATCTATCTATCTATCTATCTATCTATCTATCTATCTATCTATTTATTTATCTATCTATCTATCTATCTATCTATCTGTCAGCAACCTTGACTTGTTCGTACCATGTTCCAGAAGGGGTCACTGGCCTTGAACTTGTGCTGTTGCTCCCGCGTGTACACGAGGTTTTTGGTAAGGAACTCGTTGAGTCGGCTGCAGTACTCGGTCTGGTTGTTGCAATAAGGTGAAAACAAGTTTGCCCACTGGTTCTCCATCAGCTCTCGTGTGAGGTAGGCCTCAAGGGCCCCAGCCGCGTACGCCTGCTGCTCGTCGTCGACGTACGGGTTCGACTCGATTTGTAGGTACGACCAACTGCAGCAGCGCAATAAAAAGTTCGCAGAGTTAGCCATACTATTGTTTGGGTTGTTTTTGCCACACCTTTCCAAATATAATCCAATCAACTGAAATCTTACACGATGGACAATTTTTTGCGGGCACACATACGTAAAAAACTATACCGGCAGATCTCATGCAATGTTAGAATTCTCGTAAGGCGAAGCACGCAGCAGGGAGCTAATTACGCTGTACAGAACATACTACTTACCACGATTCACACACCATAGGAGCTGTGATTTATGTTCGTCATACAGGGCCGTCACGCAATGCAAATTCTCATGTATATCAAACTGGCAAATGGTGTGCAGTGTACTTTTAGCATGGCACACAAATGAACCCTTCTAGAAATCACAGCGCCACGCCTTCCCCTGGTGGATCAGGGCTGGAGCATCATGGTAAAGTGGAGTGCTGGGCGGGCAGAGCGGACGACGCTTTCCCACTTTCGCCTGCCTTACTCACGAGCCATAAGTGGTTTTGGCTGACGTAAGGTGCTGCTCTTGTAAAGAAACGGCTTCGAATTTTATGTATTTCAACTAGGCTGTAGTGCTCGCCACAATCAGCCAGAATCATCACATAACATACCGAAGAAGAAGAAAAGCGGCGAGCAAACTAAGCTGCTATGTTCGTAGGTGTCATGACACGTGAAAGTTATCAGACGTTTCGTTTCATTGCTCAGTGCTACAGTTCAGGACTTCAATTTTGTGATTGCTGCAGCTGATTTTGACCTTTGCTAAGATATGTGAGTTCTAATTCACTGTTATTACGGGGCTGGCGTTTTACAGTTGAAGATTACCACGTAATACGCGAAGGTATAGAAGCGACACCGTTATATGGCTCATTAACGAATCATGGGGTCCCTTGCGCATTCACCTAAAAGGACACGAAGATTAATCCCATCACGTTTTTATTATAAGTTGATGTGCCGATTCTACCCCGCTAGTCCTTGAGTGTCAGCAGGATGATGCCATGGGTGCGAACCCATCTTGCATCGCGGCTGCGGGAAAATACTGGCGTAGCTTGGGCGTGGGCAAGTGCTGATGTGCCTTGAGTAGGATAAGGGCCCCTTTTTCACCCCCTGCCGAGGCCAATGCCCACCACCATTCACACACCCCTTCAAAAATTTCTGCAAATATTCAGCTTTTGCATAGCCTCCATAATCAGACCACCTTGACGAATCTCGGATAACACGCGATGATGTGATCACGTGAAGTCACACGATCTTTTTATGATGTCACAATTTTTGGAGTTGTCTGACATGGTATATGTTGTCGTCACCACGTGATAATTTCTGTGAATCATTCGACGTCACCGGCACTGGACGCAAACGGTCAAGTTCAACGTTTGATGAGGCACCCATATTTCTCGCCTAAAAACAAAATTTTTCTGTCCGTGGCTATGGTATCCCCTGGCAGTTGCATCAACTAGAGCAAAAAATTATTGCGTGATCGCGTCACTATGGAGCATAATCGTGACATTACGTATCACAGAATGTGTACGGTCACACATCTTACACCTTCTGTAAAGTTCTGGACCTTATAACGTGCAAAGTCATCATGACCGCCAAATCATTACGTCATCACACGGAATCGTCACTATGAACTGCCTGTGTGATCTGCCCCAATCACGGGGACCGAAAAAAACTAGGTGACATACTGAATGTTTGAATTGCCTCTCCTCATAGAACCAGTGCAAAGCCACTTTAGATGCTGAAAACCTTCGCATGGGTGTGGTAAGGACAAATAAACCAACTAAATAAAAAAGACGGCTTTCGCCTTGAGGTCGTCTTCGGTGAATCCATAAAAAACACTGCAAAGTTTTTATTGCAGTCTTACTTAGTGTTTATTTTGCTGTTTTCTGCTTGATTATGTTCAATCGTATTGCTTGTTATTCACCACAAGCCTAGAGGCCTCACATATTGTGGCTTCGCGCGCCTCATGTTTTTGTGGATTCCTGTGTCAAGCCAAAGACTGCTTGGTAGTTGTAGTTTTATTATTACGGATACAAAAGCGACACTCGCTGCCACGTAACGTTGTCAACTGATGTGGGTAGTGCTGAGGTATTCTATGCATTTCCCACACTAAATGAGGCTTCCACTATGCTTTGAAAGCCACAGTGTCACCATTAGCTGCCCTGAGTAGCACTTTGAGTATTTTATAATTTGTCGTTTCTTAAATAATTTTTTGTCTCCTGACACAGTTTTTTAGCGTCCTGTCTAGCGACAGGACGCTGAAATTCTGACTTCCATTGCACACTCTTTGATGATATTAGAAAGAATATCGTTCATTGTGCGAATCATAATGTCGGTAACATTGTTTGGTGCTTCGAATCTCTTCCAAAGAGAAACTAAGAATTTCCATTCTTCTTGTCACCACTAGTTCTTTATTAGATTTTTTACGTATCAGTGTTTGTCTTGGCTTTTTTGAAATTCAGGTGACTACGAGTCTTCATCATGATAAAGTTAATTCGTCGTCCCGTACAATGCCTCAGTTTGCACACAGAATGAAGACTATTTCATTTTTAGTTTCGCGGTTAGGGCGTTGCCACGTCCACTTACGGTTTGCCGATTTTCTAAAGATGACAATCAAGATTCATAAATTATTGCGTTCGGCGACCTCTACAAATAACGCCCCTATTGTATTTTTAGGGCCTATGCCTTATTCCCCAACTGTATCGTCTCCGGCCTGTTCCTTACCTATTCCCTCTTTGTGGTCGCTTATCAGGATTGTATGCTGTGACTTTAATAATGGCTGACTCAAAGTCTTCATAGCCCCGCCGTGGTGGTCTAGTGGCTAAGGTACTCGGCTGCTGACCCGCAGGTCGCGGGTTCAAATCCCGGCTGCGGCGACTGCATTTCCGATGGAGGCGGAAATGTCGAGGCCTGTGTGCTCAGATTTGGGTGCACGTTAAAGAACCCCAGGTGGTCAAAGTTTCCGGAGCCCTCCACTACGGCGTCTCTCATAATCATATGGTGGTTTTGGGACGTTAAACCCCACAAATCAATCAATCAATTAATCAAAGTCTTCATAGAAGTGTTCAACGAGACAATTATCACAGCTTGATTTAGGTGCGTAGGCCTGTACCACCTTATTATTGAAATTCGCTAAGAAATGCGAAGCATTTCTTAGCGAATTTCAGCGTCTTTGAGTCTATCTTTCTATCTATCTATCTATCTATCTATCTATCTATCTATCTATCTATCTATCTATCTATCTATCTATCTATCTATCTATCTATCTATCTATCTATCTATCTATCTATCTATCAATCTATCTATCTATCTATCTATCTATCTATCTATCTATCGATCTATCTATCTAACCGCCTATGATGTTTAGCTCTCCTGGCCATATTATTGGTATTGAACCAAAATTGGTATGGGATAACATGACAGTAAGACGAACATAAGTGAGTAGTCATAACATGAAAATCAGGACATGTATGTGATGATTGTTATTGTACGAGACAATCATTAGTGGCGTGTTGTGTCTAGCGCAAATAATGCGGTTGATGCAGAGCACGGAGCCAGTTCCGGAACCTTCAACTAACGTAGCCGATCGGTTGCGCGAAGGAAAACACGAAAGACCCGCAGACGGGAAAGAAAGGAGACCCCTCTGTTCACAAATGCACGGGCAGAGTCGCCAAAATTCGTCGATGTGTGAGGTTTATACCCCAAAACCACCATATAATTATGAGAGACGCCGTAGAGGAGGAATACGGGGATTTGGACCACTTGAGGTTTTTTAACGTGCGCCAAAATCTCACAGCACCAGGCAGTATAGCATAAAGGGGCAGGTGGTTAACGCGCCGATCAACATGACCAATTGTGATGTTGTAGCTTGAAAAATGCGAGCATAACAGACGAGAGCGCCACATCATCTGGAAGATGACAAAAATGAAGGGACATTGAGGCACGCCCATCGAAGAAAGAACAGAAGACGCTCGCGAGGAACGGAGCTGTTGGGACGCCGACAAGACGATGCAAGAAAGCCTAGCGCAAATACACTACTAGGCGCCTGGTTCCTGCCCTCAAGCCGTTGACGTCCTCGGGGCACAACGTGTCGGTGTGGCCACGCACGAGTTCTGGGTGAGTGGTCCTGTGGATATCTCCAGTACGGTGAGCGCCCTTGAAAGACCGGAGCTGCTGACGACGTCCAGCGAGCTGACGTCACTGACAGTGTGCAGCTGCGCCTAGACCTGGCGATGCCCTCTAAAGCGGCATGCTCACCTGTGCACCCAAGCGATGTCTGTATCCGAACACGCAATGACTCCCACTTCAAGGCACCGGGCTACGGCACAGACTGTGAGACTGCTTGCTCTTTTCTAATGTGTCTGAAGCGCGTGCGTGCACCAGGCTAGTACTGAATTTGCAATGGTTTTTGCTCATCCACTATAACTTTATTGTGCTTTCAGCACTGTCTTCGTTTTCCTCCTGTCACACGCCTTGCTACGTGACAAACCTTACTACCACATATCTGGTGTTCGCGAGACAGGACTACTCTTGTTCTATTTAAGAAGAGCATCACATCGCATATGTGTGTGTGATGGTCGATGATGAAGGCAGATAAGTTGATGGAAATCGGAAATGAATTGGGGATAAGCGGCTCAGCACTAAAAGATTGGATGAAACAAGAATGTGCACGCGAAAGAGAGGCACGTGACGCTTTTCTGGCTGAAGAAAATGTTGCGAAAGAAGCTGAAACAGAGGCAGTCGCTAGATTAAAAGCAGAGAAGAAAGTGCTTGAGCTCAAGTTAATGTTTTATAGGTTAGATGCGACAGCAGGTAGCGCAACTACTGGGTGGCTTACCAAGGGTGCGCCCACAGGCAACACGCAGAGCTACCAATGTCCACATAAACTCATTCCAGCCTTTGGCAACGAACGCAATGAGCGTGACGCATATATACTACGATTTGAGCGTGTCTATCCATGTCAAGACTGGCCGCAAGACAAATGGGCCCTATCACTAAGCCTTTGCTT